TTGTTAGAGTGATGTCATGGGCTTGTCTCATGTGATTCCTAGGGGCACCGGATTTGACGCACATGTCAAACGCCTCGTCAGCTAGGTCTACGTCATACCTATGTACTTAGAGTGAAGGTTACATCCTTCGTGGGGGCAAGTGTACATGTATACAACGCTTAACTGCTGTAGAGGGTTCTCCGTCGGCTTGGGGCTGTTTTTGATAAGAAGTTCGGAAGTCTTCTTGGTTTTGTAGAATATTATCAGGTTTATGTTTTGGTTAGGAGTAGTGCTTTTTACTCCTTTACGGATTATTTCTTTCATTATTCTTTCCTCTTTTATATGTTCACTGTGCATGGTTGATTTGTAATATAATTTTATTGGAGGTATTATGGTTTCTGTTCTAGGTTCTGGATTATACCAACGGTCCAAGTGTCTTCTTATAGCAGCGTTTATTTCCGCGTTGCTATATCCGTTGTTCAACAATACCTGAGTTACTCTTTCAAACTCTACTTACGTTGCTCCATTCAGAGCAGTGGGTAAGAGCTCGACGAATATAAGCATTGAGAACACTGGCTTTGTATCTTTAGGGGCACTCACTTCTACCGTTCAGGCATAATCCTATGTTGGTGGGCTTGGTATATACGTTGGTGCTTAAAGAGGTTCCTGTTTTTGTTATTAGTACATCCAAGAATGGCAGACTGTTATTTTCACTATTTTCATGTGTAAATCGGAGTACTGACTCTCTCTCTAGATGTCTTTTTAGGTCAATTAGTTCATCTGAGTCTTTTACTATTACGAATATGTCATCTACATAACGGCAATATACAGTTTGTTTTTGTCTGTTGCTGAAGACCCTGTCATTGATGGTTCCCATATAAAAATTAGCAAATAAAACTCCTAAGGGGGAGCCCATTGCTACTCCGTCTATTTGTAAATACATGTCTCCTTGTGGACTGATGAAAGGGGCTTCCTTTGTACATGCTTCGAGAAGACTCTTCAAGTGTGGCTCAGGTATGTCTAATTTAGGGGTGCTCTCGTCTCTGTATACTCTGTCCAGTATCATTCCTATGGTTGTGTCGACTGGGACGTTGGTAAATAGGGATTCAACGTCCAGGGAAGCGATGATTCCATCGGGCTGGGTAGATTTGATCTATTCTAGGAAATCTGCTGATGATTGTAGACTAAACTTACTTGAAGTGTATGGAGTTAGGAGTTCATTGAGTTTTTTTGCCAGGTGATAAGTTGGAGTTGGTATTTGGCTGATTATAGGGCGTAGTGGGTTACCTGGTTTATGTGTCTTAACATTGCCGTAGGCATATCCTAAGCCATAGTCGCCTTGAAGTTTATTGAAATGCACACTTATGTGAGCTTATGTTGCTGCCTTCATCTATGCATGCCTTTTTTGTTGTCATCATACTCCTGCCTGGGTCTTCTACTGTTTGATGGGGGATTGTAGATTACCAAGATCACAATCTTCCTCCCATCTGCTGTCAGAGTTCCACGTATGGAGCTTGTGCTCTCATTGGTAGCCCAATTTCCCAGGTCTTCAAACTTCCATTTCTGCTTTATTAGAAGTGCCACTCCCCCTCCCTGTCTCTGTGTCCTCTCGTTTCTTATCACCTGGTAGCCCTCTGGAAAGATTGCATCCGAGATCATGTCATTTATTTTAGTTTCCACTACTGCAAATATGTCAGGATCTGTCTCACTCCCTCTTTCTTTTATATCTTCTGCTTTATTAGATACCCCATCAGTATTGGTGTACCAAACATTGAGATTCTTCATGGAAACTCTGGTACCAGAGTTCGCCCTTTCTCTGGGGTCTGGGGGGATCCGGGGGGTGTCTGGGGGGATCCGGTGGGTGTCTGAGGGCGGGGTGAAAGGGGTCGGGAGGAGTGCTTGGGGGGCGAATGGGGGCTGGGCATCTAGAAAGGTAGGTAGGAAGGTCTGGGGTAGGGCCTGGGTAGGTAGGTCTGGAGTAGGAAGGGCATACTGGGTCTGAAGAATAGGGAAGGTCTGAGAGGCATAGAGGGGTTGAAAGGTAGCGTTAGGTTGAGAGTCAGATAGAGGTTGAGAGGCTGGGGTGAGAAGTATAGAGGGGGGGGGGAAGAAGAGGGGTAGATGGAACATGGATAGTGAGAATGGGAGGGAGGTTGTATTAGTCAAGGGGAACTCAGGGGTAGGTGTGGTCATTGGGGCAGAAGAAGGGAAGAGGGAAATGGAGAAAGAGGTGGGGGGTCCCCCCGTCCCCCATGGTGGGTCCATGTGCCCCCCTCGCAAGGGTGGTGAGCCACATGGAAGGAGAGGGGCTGTGGAGAGGTGAGGGCTAGGCGGGTTATGGGGGTTGAGGGGATGAGTGCTGGGCCGTTTTGTGGGTTGAAGGGATGAGGGGGTCCTTGGAATGTGGGATGAAGCAGATGAATTTGAATGCAATGGGGTCAGAGGGGTCAGGGGAGGTGTTGGGGAGACAAGCAGGGGCAGGGAGGGCTGATTTGGGGAGGTAGTGTCCTGGGAAGCAGGTGTATGCTGGTTAGCACGGGGTGGGGTTCGGGGTAGGTTAGCACTGGGGTGTGTATCTACGCTCAAATGGGAAGAGTTGTATTGTGGAGTTTGCTCGCTCTGTGTGCTATCTGTTCCTCTTTTGTCATGTATCTACATTTTGTTCCAATGCCCACTGACTAGCCCATATGTTCCTATTTTGTCATGTATCAATATACATGTTGTAGTAGTTTTCTCTACCTCTGAGTAAGTGTTTGTGATGCAGTATGTAATCGCCTGCCTCTTCGTTAGTGAACTGTACCAGGACAGGTCGTTTCTTGTCATAGTTGTATGGCCCAATGCGGCGGTGGACTTGCACCTCATTCCCTGCCATCTGGGATCTGATATCTCTCAAGATCCCCTGTAGCTCCAAAGCTTGAATCTCTATCCTTTCCTGCCTCGATGGTGCCTTGGCTTCAAGTAATCTATGGATTATGATTGACCTCTTTCTCAGTGCAAGGTCATGCTGGTCGCCTCCGCCCTGGCTGACCCCCACTCCTCTCACTTGCTACTCCATCCCCCACTACTCCCACTTCCCTTGCCATGCTTCCCTTATTCCTGCCCAATTCATTTGTTAGCCTAATTATTTCTTCTTTCCATTCTACTTTGCTCTTCCTGATTTCCTCTTGAATATAATCCATAAACTCTTGTTTGTGTTTTTGAACCTCGTCCTGTACTGTATCATATTAAAAATTTCACTTTCAATCCCCTGGAATAGATCTTCTATCCAAACATCCTTCTTCTCTACAAATTTCCCAATCATCTTCTCAACAAACCTATCCTCTTCTTCAATCATAATACTGCTGGACCTAGACACCCTTCCAGGCCTAGTCATTGTTATAATCCACAGGGGGTTCCAAGTACCTTACCGACCTGCTAACACAATAGGTGAGTGAATCTCCAAGCGTCTCCCCACGTGGTGTTGGGAGGGTTGCTGCTTGGGGGTGAGGTCACGGTTGGTCACAGGTCTGCTCCACTCTGCACACTGCCACAGTGCTTCAACAACTATTTTTAATTATGATACCTATGCTGTTTTTCTTCACTACCTTATGGCTTTAGTCAAAACCCAAGATTTTTCATTCACTTGTATACACTTTTTCACTTCAAACTAGTCTGATTATCCCTTCCACTCCACTAGTGAGCCAAGAGCTCCCAATCCACATCCATCCAACACAACGGTCACATCCAGTGTGTACTCACCTAATTGTACTCGCCTAATTGTGCTTGCGGGGGTTGAGCTTTGGCTCTTTGGTCCCGCCTCTCAACTCTCAATCAACTGGTGTACAGATTCCTGAGCCTACTGGGCTCTATCATATCTACATTTGAAACTGTGTATGGAGTCAGCCTCCACCACATCACTTCCTAGTGCATTCCATTTATTAACTACTCTGACACTGAAAAAATTCTTTCTAACGTCTCTGTGGCTCATCTGGGTATAAAGTTTCCACCTGTGTCCCCTTGTTCGTGTCCCACTCGTGCTGAAGAGTTTGTCTTTGTCCACCCTGTCAATTCCACTGAGAATTTTGTAGGTGGTTATCATGTCTCCCTTTACTCTTCTGTTTTCCAGGGATGTGAGGTTCAGCTCCTTTAGCCTTTCCTCGTAGCTCAATCCTCTCAGTTCCGGGACGAGCCTGGTGGCATACCGCTGAATCTTCTCTAACTTTTTCTTGTGATTAACTAGGTATGGACTCCAGGCTGGAGCTGCATACTCCAGGATTGGTCTTACATAAGTGGTATACAGGGTTCTGAAAGATTCCTTACACAAGATTCTGAAGGCAGTTCTTATGTTGGCCAGTCTAGCATATGCCGCTGATGATATTCTTTTGATGTGGGCCTCTGGGGACAGGTTCGGTGTGATATCAACCCCCAGATCCTTCTCTCTATTTGACTCTTGCAGGATTTCCCCTCCCAGATGATACCTTGTGTTCAGCCTCCTGCTCCCTTCGCCTAATTTCATCACCTTACACTTTCCCGAGTTGAACTTTAGCAGCGATTTTCTAGACCATTCCTCCAGTCTGTGTGTGTGTGTATGTGTGTGTGTGTGTGTGTGTGTGTGTGTGTGTGTGTGTGTGTGTGTGTGTGTGTGTGTGTGTGTGTGTGTGTGTGTGTGTGTGTGTGTGTGTGTGTATTCACCTAGTTGTATTCACCTAGTTGTGTTTGCGAGGGTTGAACTTTGCTCTTTCGGCCCGCCTCTCAATTGTCGATTAACTGTTTACTAACTACTAATTTTTCCACACCCTACCCCCCCCCCCCCCAGGAAGCAGCTCCCAGGTACCTATTTACTGCTAAGTAACAGGGGCATTCAGGGTGAAAGAAACTGTTCATTTGTTTCTGCCTGGTGCAGGAATCGAACCCGCGCCAAAGAATTACGAGTCCTGCGCGCTATTCACCAGGCTACCAGGCCCCTGTGGATGTGTGTGTGTGTGTGTGTGATCAATAATTTATTCATTATATCAAACTTTACGGAACAAGTGGACTCTTACGTGAAGTTGAGTTTGTCAGCAAAGGTGTGGATGAGCCGGGCATCAAGGCAGTCAACCAGCCGGACCGCTGTTCCCGGGGCCTCGCTCATGCGCTGGTAGTCAAGGTATGGGGATAACACTGCTGCTGTCACTATTCTCATCTTGTGGCCCATAAAGTCTTCGAATCTTTCTGTCGAGATTAACCCAAATTAGCTGTGCTATGATACTAGAAATTCGAGTAAATATGTTGGAAACTGTCTTGAATTTCAATAAATTTGGATAAATTTGGGTAAATTTGGTGGAAATGGTTTTAAATTGGGATAAATTGGGTTAAATTGTGCCTTAGCTGTGTTGGGTTCAGTCAGGTTTGGTAGGAGTGATGCTAGAAAAACAATTCTGGATATTGGCAACAGCTAGATGGACACAGCACTATCACTATGGTATGGTCATAGTCATGGGGTGTGATATGTGGTGACTTGATATTGATTATTGGAAATACACATTACATTTATATGGAATAGGTGAAACGTGGGTAAATTGGGCTTAGGCTGTGTTATGATATGGCAATTCTTGTTAAATGTGGTGGAAAGTGTCTTAAATTGGGATAAATTAAGATTAATTTGGGCAAATTTGGTGAAAATTGTTTTAAATTTGGATAAATTTCGCCTTAGCCATGTTGGGTTAGGTCTGCATTGGTTGGATTGATACTAGAAAAACACATCTTGATTTTGGAAATAGCTAGATGGACACAGCACCATCACTATGAAATGGTCTTGGAAATGGGGTATCTGTGGTGACTGGATGTTGGGTATTGGAAATGTACATTAAATTTAGATTGGATAGGGAAAGCGTGGGTGAATACGGCTTTGGTTGTGCTATGATATTGCAAATTTTGGTAAATTTCGTAAAAGTTGTCTTTAATTGGGTGAAATTGGCTAGATGACCACAGCACTAATACTACAAAATGGTCTTGAGTATGGGGTATAATCTGCGGTGACTGGATATTGGAAATGCACCTTAAATTTAGATGGGATAGGGAAAACTTGGGGAGGGGGTAAATTTGGTTTTGGTTGTGCTGTCACTTCAAATTTCGGGCGAATTTAGTGGAAATTGTTATAAATTGGGTGAAATTAGCTAGATGGATACAGCACTAACACTTACAAATTAATTTTGGGGGGAATTTCTAATGTTTGAGACTTCCCTTGTATTATATTATTAATATTATACGGTATAAGCACTTGTTATTAGTTTGAGAGACGATATATGCAGTTGTCTTTTAGTTTGAGAGATGAGAAACGTAGGTCTCCCCCCGAATATAATGTTTTAGCAGGAAAAAAATGGGATCCTGCAAGTTGCAACATCAGAGAAATATAGGGAGGGATTCATACATTAGGCTGGAAGCAACCTTGTCCAACAGTGTAGTTATTGGGTGCAGAACCATTTAATCTCTTTCTTTGTTATATATCCTCAAATCCATTCCATGTGGCGGTTGGGAAAAGGGTTAGAGAGGCACATAATCGGTTATGGAACTGAACACCACAGTTCGTTTAGCTAGGCTAGTGACAATCTCTTGAAGCTAGTTGCACAATTGTTATTGTCACACTCACACACTACCAAAGAGCCAAAGCTCAACCCCCATAAGCACAACTAGGTAAGTACACATATGTGTGTAAATATGCACCCACGTACAAAAATACATATACATTTCTTGAAATTCATTGACAGTGTTATCTCTGAATTCTGTTGTTTTCACATTCCATTATATAATGTTCTAAAGTATGCAAATAGTTAAGCTGACAGAGTTTACATATGGTCAAAATCAGTGTATGTTACAAACTCCCAGAGGTACTCACACATTGGGGGTTGATATCACGCCAGACCTGTCCCCTGAAGCTCATATCAAGAGGAAAACATCAGCAGCATATGCCAGGTTGGCTAACATAAGAACGGCCTATAGAAACTTGTGTAAGGAATCTTTCAGAACATTATATACCACATATGTCAGACCAATCCTGGAGTATGCGGCTCCAGCATGGAGTCCATATCTAGTCAAGCATAAGACTAAACTGGAAAAGGTTCAAAGGTTTGCCACCAGACTAGTACCCGAGCTGAGAGGTATGAGCTATGAGGAGAGACTATGGGAATTAAACCTCACTTCGTTGGAAGACAGAAGAGTTAGGGGGACATGATCACCACATTCAAGATTCTCAAGGGAATCGACAGGGTTGATAAAGACAGGCTGTTTAACACAAGGGGCACACGCATTAGGGGACACAGGTGGAAACTGAGTGCTCAAATGAGCCACAGAGATGTTAGAAAGAACTTTTTTAGTGTCAGAGTGGTTGACAAATGGAATGCATTAGGAAGCGATGTGGTGGAGGCTAATTCCATACAAAGTTTCAAGTGTAGATATGATAGAGCCCAATAGGGTCAGGAACCTGTACACCTGTTGATTGACGGTTGAGAGGCGGGACCAAAGAGCCAGAGCTCAACCCCCGCAAGCACAACTAGGTGAGAACATTGTCGCATCAGCAATGAGTTTGAGACCAATCACATGTACAGTTTTTCTAAAAATTAAGCAACTGACCTATGTGGAGAGTTAGTGCCATAATTTTTTATGTTTTTTTTTATGCAAGAGTTCTTACTTTCTTGTAAAGGGCATTGCATTTCGCTTGCCTGTTTGGTTATTTGTGCTAGTTTGTGTGGTTTTTGGAAAAGTTATTTTTTGTGTTTGTGGATGTAACTACACGTATAGGTGAGGTTGAGATCTGCATTTGATTTGAAATTAGTTTAAAAGATAACGTTCTCCCCTGAATATATTTCGTAGAAAAAATAATAACATTTAAAAGGGCAAGATACTACATCATTTAGAGAAATATAGGGGAGGAAGGAGAAATTTACTGTGTCCAGTAGCTTGGATGTTGAGGAACTGAACGGAGACCTGCATGACTGGCACAGTCTCAGAGATATATTGGACGATCAAGAGTGTGGAGGATATATAGGGTGCGGAAGAGAAAATTTTTATATCTCTATAACAAGAGAGTATAGAGATATTAAATTTAATAAAATATATTCTGTTATACTGTGTTATATTTAATTGAGATAGATGCTAACATTGAAGAGTTTGTTTGTTTGATATAATATGTCACTAGGTTTGATAATGCACTATTTTCCTTCATTTTAATAGAGGCGCTATATGTGGAAAATATAAAGTCAATATAAATCTGCTCGTATTTTACTCATTATCTATATAAATAATAATGTAAATGTTTGTTTGTTCAAAATCGTTAATCTCCGAAAGTTCTTCGCCGATAGCTTTGAAATTTTGACACAACATTCCATTTGCTTAAAGGCGTGTTTTTATATAATACCTACTATATACATGCCACACCTATGACAGGTAAAAGCATGCCTTTTGAGAAAACAGCGCTATCTGTTGGACGTAGGAGCAACACATGCTGTAATCTCCAGAAGTCGTTCATCGATTGTTTTGAAATTTTAACACAACGCTCATTCGAATACGTGCACGTTTTTATATAATACAATATAAATGACAGAGAAAAACATGCTTTTTTTTAAACAGCGTCATCTGTTGACTGTAAAAGGAACACACGGTATACTAAATATGCTACAATTGCATTTCAATGTTTCCGATTGCATTGTTAAATTGAATTTTCATGGATTTCGATATATTTTCAATTTGATTTAATTATTTTGTGTGACATTGCATTGGAATTGAGCTGTGTTGTTTACCATACCTTTCATTTCGAGAGTAGAGTTTATTGTGTATTTTTTCAGTTTTATATAACTTTTTAACTGTTCTTATTTTTCAGCGATGAGAACATCAGATTATTTGTGTTCCAATTTTCCCAATGGGAACATCACATCATTTGGGAACGCAACGGACAACGAAGAGGGGAATGGTAGGGAAGTCGAGTGGATTGGAGTGGGGATTGCTGGGGAGGACGAGGGAATGGGGGAGTGGGTATTGGTGGAGAGGACGAGGGGATGGGGAATGGAGGATGAGGGGACAGGGGAGTGAAGAATGGTGGGGAGGACAAGGGAGTGGGGAGGATGACGGCACGGAGGGGGATGGGGGATGGTGAGGAGTACGAGGGAATGGGGGAGTGGCGAACGGTGGTGAGGACGAGAGGACAGGGAGGGAGGGAATGGTGGGGAGGACCGGGGGATGGTAGGGTTGGGAATGGTTTGGAGGACGAGGGGAAGGGGAAGGGGGAAATGGTGGGGAGGACAGGGGGACAGACGAGGGTTGCTGTGGCTCAGCAATGCGTGGCCGGGTACAGCTAGTTTTAAATAAATATAGTTTTTGCAAGATCATTGTTGATATGCTCTCATGGTTTGGTGGGGGTGCGGGTACCAGGCTCGGAGTCACGGGGATCAGGATTTGTTTGGCAGGCGATGTGTGGCGGTGTAAGGAGGTACTACTGGGTGTCTGTCACTCCCATGTATCTGGCAAGCAAGTTTATTCAAGTTTAAAGCAGTTTTTTCTATTAAATGCATCACAAAAAAATGATAGCGTGTCTTAGGCTATATCTGTCATAATTTTATTAAAGGTCAGTCAAATCGTTCGCAATTATTATTGCCCTGATGATCTTTTCCAGCTATATTTTAAAAACCTTAACTGAGTTTATGGCCGATTTTGCGGCTTCGGTGAATAGGTAGTTCCATACAATTATTTTTTATTATTTTTATATTACTTTACCCGATGGCCCGCTAGTAGCCATGACGAGGATAGGAAGCCGTCGACTTGTCCGAGGCCTATCCATTTTATCCTGATGATCTTTTCAGCTGTTTTTCTAAAGCCCAGCAGAGTTATATGGCCGATTTTACAATTCGGCGGGAAGGCAGTTCCGTAGGTTTTATTTACCCCCCCCTCCCATGGGACATTGTTTTTATGCCGTCCATTATTCTAACGGCTTAAAAAGTACTATTACTGAGATAAAAATGTTATAATTGAACTAACAGAGTATTGGGATAGAATTTCAGAGATGAATGTAGCTTCAGTGATTAGACTAATAAGAGGAGCTAAATGAATTCATCATTCTCTCTTTAAATGGTGGGGTCTGTCAACGTCTTGAACCCTTCTTGCTTGAGACCCCCCCCCCCCCCACATGCCATCAAACGTGACTATTTCTTTCACATTCTATTTCTTAACATCCTTTTTAATTTTTTAGGAAGGACAAAAAATGCACATGAAAGTAAAATGCAAACCTTTGTAGTGATCGCCAATAGCCTACTGTTCAGAATAAAATCAATAAACTATATTGCTATTTTAGGATTAAAAGTGTTAAGAGTATTAGGTAATGGGCCAGATACCTGACATAAAAATGACTGATGCCCACTAATGTGAACAGCGTTTTTGCTCTCTAAAAGGGCGTGACTATCGCCAATGTTTTCGATATTTTTTCAAAGATCAACATTTGTTTGTGTGATTCTACAATATTAAAAACAACTTCGCGTGCTCCAATGTAAATATGATACACTAGGATCTATAGAAATGCTGCATTATTATTTGTTTGTATTTAAAGAAAAAAATCGAACTGATTGCAATTTTAAATAATGACAGTTTATTGCACTTAGCCCTTAAACAGCCCGTTGGATCATTGCTGGCATCTATTGACAATTTGTCTTATTTTACAATGATGCAATCTTTGCTATAGCGATGATTTTTTATTTACCATGATAGGATCCTGGCGTGAAGAATGATTTCAATATGATAAACATTTTATGGTTGAATGATTAATGGTTCATACAGACCATTATTAACAACTACAAAGCTACCACAGCAATTGAAATCTAAACTTTGGCCATGGAAAGCGGGGAATCTGAGAGGTGACTGGGATAAGCAGTTTCAATATTATAACCAGCCCCCCCCCCCTTCATCACATATAAAAATGCGTTTTTTGCGCTCATTTTAAATTATACAGAGTTCTGCAAGCTCATTTCCCTAGGAAAAACACCAAAGAACTAATTTTAGTACTAGAAAGTGGGGCCCCTGATTTAGATTATATACATAATAATTGTGCATATAATTGGGAAACTGGGGCCCCTGATTCAGATTATAAACACAATAATTGTCAATGAGGCCTGATGGCTGAGTGGACACCGCTCGGGGTTCGTAGTCCTAAGGTTCCGGGTTCGATCCCTGGCGGAGGAGGAAACAAATGGGGAGAGTTCCTTTCACCCTGATACCCTTTTTAACTTGCAGTAAATAAGTACCTGGGAGTTAGACAGCTGCTCTTGAGGATGTGTAACAAAAAGAAGGCCTGGTCGAGGACTGGGCTGCTTGGATGCTAAGCCCCGAAAACATCTCATAATAAGAAGATGGTACATTCATTCCCCATCAAATACACAGGGGATCTATGAAGCTATTCTAGCTTTAAACCCCAAATACTCATCCTTCACATGTAGGCCCTGTTCTATGGTTTGTCTACCATGTCTAAGAACACAATACTATCATGTACACTTGGGAAAAGGCTTACTATACTCATATATTCGACTTTGTTCCCAGTAGATGAGCTTGACCCCCCCCCCCCCCACCTCCACTGCATACTTGACACCCCCATGGGCTCAACAAGGCTAGGGGCCCCTGTCTATGACGTACTAGGTGCGTGATACTGCGCAACTCACGGTGAACCCCCTTGGGACCTCCATACCTAGACACTGGATTGGTCAATGTACTGCCCTGTGGCCATTTCAGACTATGACAGACCTCAGCGCCATCTATGATCCAGTTTCCGAATTAAAACAGTTGACCATCCAATTAATATTACTTTCCCATCATCTAGTTTGCTGTGCTGGGAGATGACGAGCTACCAGTGACAAGCGACAAACATCAGTGAAACAGGGAGAGTGAAGAAGTACTTTGGTCTATCTTGAGACGAGCTAGTCAGTGGGCTAGCTGAGCACTGTGGACTTCACTATTGTAAGGTGCTAGCAAGTGGGCTAGTTGAGCGCTGAAGACTTTTTTTTTAATGAGGAAGAGTCCGCTGTAAGCGTGCAGCCTGGAAGAGACACTGCCGCTGGCAATTGGTTCGGTAGGCGAGTGTGGAGGTCTGTAGGGCCATCCGTATGGCTAAACATGAATTTTGGATGTCTTATGTCTCCACCATTACGTCCGAAACTCTAATGTCGCAGATCTGGAAACATATCCGCAAGATAGCCGGTAAGCTCATTCCCGATGTCTCGCCGGTTCTTCACCTCCGTGATACTCTTGTGGCGGACCCGTTGCAGGTCGTTACCGAACTGGGTTCCCACTTTTCTTCTGTTAGCTCTGGTTCTCATCTTTCTCAATCTTTCCTTCTTCGCAAATCTGTCCATGAATCTCATCCTTTACATTTCTGCACTCATCTCCGACTTCCCTATAACGATCCCTTCTCTCTGAACTTCGGTCTGCCCTTGGCCCTCTGCGGTTCTACGGCGGCGGGCTCCGATGGCATTCATTATGAGATGCATCGCCATCTCCCTCCGTGCATCTCTCAGTATTTACTGAGTGTGTATAATCGGATCTGAGAGTCGTCGTCAGTCCCTGAGGACTGGCTTGATTCCGCTGTCCTCCCTGTTCGAAAACCAGGATCTCTGGGGACTTCCCCTAAGGACTTTCGCTCTATTGCCCTCACGAGTTGTGTCTGCAAACTCTTTGACCGTATGGTTAACGTTCGTGTGATGTGGTTCTTAAAACACTATCACCACCACTGCCCCCTTCTCATTTTGATTTCCGCAAGTGCCGCAGCACAACGGATGTCCTGGTGAACTTGGAGGTCTATAATCGTACTGCTTTTGTTGCGAAGACCTCCGTTGTTGCCGTCTTTTTAGACCTAGAAAAGGCTTACGACACCACTTGGCGATATCATATTCTGTCCCAACTTCATTCTTTTGGCCTTCGTGGTAATCTCCCTCTCTTTCTCCAAAGCTTCCTCTCTCGTCGTTCATTTCGAGTCAGGCTTGGTACCACTCTACATCTTTTCAGCAATACGAAGATATGCCCCAGGGTAGTGTTCTGAGCACT